CCCCCACCCCCACCCCCACCCAGGGCTTTTCAGATCAAAAGTAAAATCCTCTTTGTGAAACTACCTTGCTGGCACAACTCTGTTTTTGGCTTCTTGCCTCCTGACTAGTAGGACCTTGTTTCTCCCCAAGGAATATCTGAATGGCTGCCAGTAGCGATTTCTGTTTCTGTCAGATATGTGGGTATTTTATCAATTAAGGAAAAAATAGATGAAGCCAGCTGAGATGTTTTCATCCAGATATTTAGACTTGACTATCAGATCCAAATAAGAAAGATAGAATCATAACCGAAGCACCACTGGATTGCATAAAATGAGGATGAGTCAGTGGAGCTCTTTTAAAAAGTGAGGAAAATGCTTTATCATTTTCTTTTGACATTCCTTCTTCATCAGTAGTTAAATTCATTGAGGAATAAAATGCATCTCCTGTTGATTAAAAAAAAAAGAAAAAGATGTGCTGTGTTTCATTATTTGGGGCCCTTGAGAACAGACGTTAGCTTGGACAAATCCACAGCCCAGACCTTCCCACCCACCCCTAAGAGCTGCCTCCCCCGCCAGCATCCCCCATCGTTCCTGCCCCACCTCTGTCAGTCACATCGTATCATGGAGAGAAGTACACTTAGTTAATTTTGCCAATGCCAAAATTATGTTCTTAAGAGGAATTAAATTACAAATGATTTCATTGTGTGCAAAAACCCTACTACTCAGTACCCAATTGGTAGCGTGATTGTCTCTCGGGACTGGTTAGTTACAAACTCTTCATCATCTCTTAAAGATTTGAAGTGTGGAGAAGGATGTTCTTATGCTGTACAGAAATGTGGGTTGTAGGACACCTGGTTCCTGTTGCAGGTATTTAGAAAGCCTGACAGAGGAGGAGGCTGAAGAACTTCCTGTGCAATGGGTAGCTTGGTGAACACTCTGCTCCACTTTCAGGGGGTCCTTAGACCTTTAGTCGGGCACTGGTTGTATCTCCAGCACCATGTCCAAGACTTTACAGCCCCAGGTTTTCTCCAGATGCTCCTGGCAGCCTTCGACATTGCCATCCTTTTTAATTAACTAAAAGTGCATGACCCTCCATAAACCAAACAAGCAGGTAGCCTCATTAGGCGGCTCACCCAGCAGCCAGAGGGAAAGAGAATGGGATAAATTAAGAACAGAGCACCACTGACACCGACCCAAATGCACTTTCTCAGCCATTAATCAAATCATATAAAAAAGACTGCAGCAGCATTAATGCACCTGCCATGGCCCTCAGATTCCAACTGTAAATGCATATGTGTGCTCAGAAACCAAGGAGAGAGGCATTAGGGGATGGGGAAAAGTGGATAATTAGATACATTCCCGATTCTCACTTCCACATTGTTCGAAACATAACCTTTTTCTGCATACCATTCAGCATTTCTGGTCCAATGTTCTCTGTCAATGTTTAGCCTCCAGAGCTGGGCTAACTCAGTACCTATTCTGAAGAATATTACATTCCCTTTCCTACTTAGCTTTTGAAACATGGACTATGAAGTTACTGGTGCCAAGAATAGAAATGACCGTGTGCTAAGATAGGGCATTGTAGTCATACTGATCATTGTTCCTTCTGCTATAAATACTGTGCCCTTCAGATCTTCCTTGAAGGGTTTCTAGTGAGATTACTTAGCTAATCTCCCTTACCACCACTGTCTTCACATTCTTGGAGTGAGATATCTCAGAGTGAGTCATATAAATAAACCCAAAATTGTGGCATATATTTATGGTTGGATTTGTGGTATGCCACATGTCTTTGTTGTACACTAATGCCATGTACTCAGCCAGGAAAGTTAAGCATGACAGGCATAATCTAACCACATTGTTGGCATTACATGAAATTGACTTTTTGGAGTGCACACGTGCACACTGTATTTTTACATGACACCATTACTTGACCTGTATGGGGGCTCCAGAGGTTCTCAAGTGCAGAGAGATATTTCTGTTCATAGGAAAATTCTAAATCTTATTTCAGGTATTGACTCAGATGAAGAACTTGGGCTGCTCTGTCACCACACGTCCTATCTAGGTGATTGTCTGGGGCTGATCCTTGGCTCTTGATACTTTGTGAACTTTCCTTTATATTTCATATGTCTGCACGTCTGCATGGTTACCCAAGCTCTGGGGGTTGGGGATGCTGAAGGGAGATAATGGTCTGGCATTCTGTCTCCAGAATGTTCTCCGGGTTTGGGGAGAGCTTGAGGAGAGGTCTGTCTCCTGGTTACCGTTAATCAAGTCATCATCTATCTCTGTTATTTCATGCACAACTGGCAGCTTGGGCATTTCTTGGGATGTGGAAAGAAGAAAGCAAATTGGCTCTAGCAAATATAGGATCTGCTAGTCGTCCTCAAGGCTGTGATGTGTGTATGCCATACAGCCCAGGAAGGACAGCCAATCTCCATGCTTTCTAATTGTCAGTAGCTTGCCTGAGTTTGTTTTTCTTTGTTTTGTTTTAAACAGGGCAGTAACTGAGTTGGAGGGGGGAAAAGATTTTATTTCCACTAAGAAGCATCGTTAGTGGGCTATTATTGAACCCCCTTCTGTGTGTTTTCTCCCCTGCCCAGACCAGAGAGTGGCCTCCTTCTGTACCTTGACAGACATGCAGCACATGCAGGACTTGGAAGGGGCTCAGGAGCTACCCTTATGTGTAGACCCAGGCAATGGGAAGGATTTCCTGGACACCACTGGGTATGTGAACCTCTGTTCCCCTCTTCACTCCCCCATCCCAAGCCCCCATAACTAACAGTTACTCAGCTTACCTCAGTCAGCCCGGAAGACCATGTCCCACCTATGTGTCTTAACCCCTTTTCTCAAAATCCAGAGGGGAGACTGATGGGGGCTGACTCTGCTTCCGCCCTGTGTGCTGGACATGTAGTCCCATGCCCAGCATGACTGCTCCGCCCTGTAGGCAGGCCCTGCCTGCTGGGACAGGTTGAGGAGCTGCTACCAGTGCTTTGCTCAGGAGGGTAGAGCTTCACTGACAGAAGTCACTGTGATGGCACTAGGCAGGTACACTTTGCTGATCTCAGCCCTACACTTGTCAAGCCACCATCTGCCTCTGCTGCCATGCATGCTGATCTGGCCACCGCACATTTCCCTTCATGACCCCTAGTTCCTGACCCTAGCTCCTGCTCTCTGTTGAAGTGCTTCAGAAATTCGTGACATTTATCCCCCATGGAATATAGATTCTTTCCCAGTGTCATCCATTTCTGACTCCAACTTGTATATGAACTTGAGTTATCAGTAACTTACATGCTCACATCGATAATCAGCAAATTGGGGAAACTGAATGTATATTTGGTTCCCAGGACTTCATTCTGGTCTATCTTGTCTCGGTTGGCTAAACTCATTTACGTGTTCTGTCCTTTGTTTTCCTACCAACCCATATGTCTGTAGAGATTCTGAATCCCTTTTTATATCAGTAGAGACCTGGGAAGGACTTTCTACCAAAGCAGTAATACATACACTTTTTCAGTCTGATGTAATATTATTTATTTCCTTGCACATGAAATAATTTTGAGTGAAAAGAAACAACAAAAAACTTGAATGAAGTGTCTTGACTTCAACTTCATTGAGTCTTTCTAATTATATCCTTATTTGCTAGGGAGCGATCTCCATCAACACTGACTGGCAAAGTCAATCAGCTGGAGTTAATTCTCCGACAACTGCAGACTGACCTTCGGAAGGTAAAGCAATCTATTGGAAATTATACTGTTACTCCCTTTTAGCTATTACAAATGAAAATGAAGAGACCAAGAAAGATAACTGCCCTAAACAAAACCAGACAATAAATAGACAGGGGGACTCCTGAGATCTGTTTCCGTTTTCTGGCCTGGGACTAATATATTTCATTAGGGGACAAGAGGATCACAGTGGAGGACTGTAACTAAGACAAGCTGCCTGTACAGCCAGTCTTCAGTGGGAGGTAGAAACACAGCAGGCTAGCAGTTTTTGATTCAGTAAGTTAGCAATTGCACCAAGTATTTATGAGCTGACATGAGAGGAGTCTGCTGCCAGAAAGCCTGGTCTCCCCAAGCTGTTGTGCTCTTGCTTAGTCAGCGCCAAGACCCTCAGGGCTTCCACTCCACACATCAGCCCGTGCTGTCGGCCCTAAAAACAAATTAAATAATTCATTGCACAAACATTTGCTGCACTCTTGGCGTATCATCAGAACGGTGCTAGACCCTGGAGATACATCTGGGGTCAGTCCCTGCCTCAGATGGGTGACAGACAGGTGGAGAGTTCAGTGGGATGAAGAGTGCTATGCTAGAAGCATGCCCAGGGCTCAGCCACAGGTGTGTAAAGGTCAGCCGGAGGAAGACTGCATTCCATGCAGGGGGTGCCTCCTGTTCAGCATTTGATTGGGGAATTGCAGTGCTGTGATTCAGCATAGCTGAGGCATCAGGGGTGTGGATGAGAGCAGAAGAGATGAAGCTGGACAAAAAATAGGGAACATCCTACAAAGCATACTATATGTTGAGACTGAAAGTAAAAGGCAACCATGGAAGGATTTTAATAAGAGGGGATCGTCTATAGATGTGAATGCTAGGTTGGGGACGAGGCTGGAGGAAGGAGGAGCTCGTCAGGGGGCTATGCTGGGGGTGCAGCAGGGAGAGGGTGATCATTAATGTGGGGTCCTGGAGAAGACAGGAGGGATGGGCCCCAGGGGCAGGTGTAGGGATGAGCTGCAGGGAAGAAGAGAGATACTGCTTGCACTAGAATCCAGGAAAGGGGAGAAAGACAGGTGCAGAGCCAGGCACGGGTCTAAGTTTGGTGGTTAAAGAAAGACAGAGGGTACCTGTGATGGCTTCTGCTTCATGTGGGCGTTACCCATTCATTCATTCAAAAACGAATTGCTGAGAACCTGTTACAGAGTTCTAGGCATTAGGAACATAAGACAACTCTGCCCTCATGGTGGCATGGCTAATAAACAAGATATAATGCCAACAGTAATAAATGCGACAAAAATAAAGTAAGGTAAGGGGCTAGCGTGTGACTCAGTGGGAGAGAGGTGGGGAGGGCCTTTCTGAAGCAGTGACATCTGATTGAGCAGGCTCATGAATAAAGCACGGAGCCAGGGATACAAATATCTGGTGACAAGCGTGTTCCAGGCCGGGAGAAGAGCTGGTGGAAGGGCCTGAGGCAGAAGTTTGATGTATGTTCAGAAGGCCATTGTATCTGGAGTGGGGCACTAGAGGACAGTGGGAAGGGAGGAAAACAAGGCAGTAGGAGGCAGAGAAGACAGCTCTTTCAGGCTTGGGAGGGACCTTGGATTTTGTTTGAAGCAGATTGGAAGCCAATGACAGGTTTTAAGCAAGAGATGATCACGATCTGACTTATGTTTTGAAACAATCACTCCAGCTGCTTTCTGGCAAGTAGATGGTGGAGGAGGAAGGATAAGAAGGGAAGCAGGAGACCAGCCAGGAAGCTCTTGCCATAGTCTAGGGAAGAAGGATGTTGGGAATGGTGAGAGTTGTCCGCAAGACTTGCTGATGGATTGGATGTGAGATGTGAAAGTACAACCAAAGATGATGCTGGGTTTTTGGCCTGAGCAGCTGGGTGAACAGTGGTGGTATTTCCACAGGTGGGAAGTATCATGACGGAGCAGGCTAAGGGCATCAGGGAAGGGAAGTCAGAGGGGTCAGGTTGGAGGCTTCAGGAAGAGGGGCCTGTAGCCTGAGCCCTTCAGGTGCTCCAGTGTCAGGAAGAGGATGGTCCAGCAAAGGAGCCTGGGAAGGAGTAGCCATTGAGACAGGAGAAAACAGAAGAGCATGCTGTGTCTGAAGCCAAGTGAAGAAAGTACTTTTAAAAGGAGGCGAGAGATCAGCTCTGTCAAATGCTGCTGAAAGAACGAACAGATGGATTAGACAACATGGAGAGAGTTGGTGACACCAAGTAATAAATGTCAATCGAGTCCTGAGGAGTGGATTCAGGAGGGAACAGGAGAAGGAGAATTGGAGGGGGAGTATAGACAACTCTTTTGAGCCTTTGTCCTGCTATCCCAGGAGAGAGAATTGGAGTTCAGTAGCTGGAGGGTGATGGGGAGAGGGAGGGAAGCCTTGCGAGATTTCCTGGGGCAGGACACTTCCAGGGCTAGAACTGGGAAAGTCCCAGGCAGGCTAGGGTGGCTGGGCACCCTGTCTCCAGCTGGAGGTATAGACTAGGGCTTAGTCAGTAGAGCAAGACAGGGAGAGAAAAGACAAGGACACTGGAGTGATAAGCTTGTGATTAAAGTGATAAACGGAGAGTCATTGTGCTGATGGCCAGTGAAGATGAGGTCAGATCAGTGGATTAGACTGTTAGTGGAGGGGACAGGATCTGGGGAAATTATTTTAAAAATCAGGAGGTGGTCAGAAAGTGAGAGCTTGAAACAGCTGTAGGAAGGGGTGCAATTAGTGGGAATGGCAGCATAGGGTATGGCCACGGGAGTGGGTGCTGAGGACGGTGGGTTTCCAGATCATTGCGAGGACGTGTGGGGAGGCTGCATGTCCAGGGTGCTGGGGTGGAACATCTAAGTAGAGCTGAAGTGGTCAGGAAGGATGACAAATGGGTGGGGGAGTGAACCAGGTGCTAGCATCTTCCATTGGTGATGACAGGGACTGGGGATGCAGTGATAATTGAAAAGGCTAGCAGGTCTTAAATCTAAGGGCATGTGTTTCAAAGAAGCTGGCATTTTAGGGAGGAGCAGTAATCCAGACCGAGCAGTGAGGAACAGGGAGTTCACCAGCACTGGGGGCTGCTGAGGGAGCAGTGTCCTCTGGGGAGGCTGAGTCATTTGGAGCATGAAGATGAGAAGGTTTCAGAGAAGAGGCTGAGAACTGAGGTTTAAGTGGCAGGATGAGAGTTCCACAGAGAGGGTCACAGTCAGAAGGTCTGGGGGTGTGGAGAGGTGTGCAGTGAGATCACAGCAGGGATGTCTGAGCCAGATTGGAACGAGCGTCCCGGAATGACGGAGGAGCATGAACTGCTTACAGCGACTTCAGAAAGTCCATCTGCAGGGCAGATGGGGTTAGTCCTGATGTCCTACGGAGAGTTGATCATCAGTTCTAATTCAAGCCTCCCTCTTGGGACTGGTCTTCTAAGCCAGTGACGAGACAGGTGACATTGGGGACACCTAGGGAGGAACCAAGAAATAGGAGAAACTTTGAGAGTAGTGCCATACAGGCGAAGGGTTTCCTGAAGGCAGACCCTACAGAGGGGCCAAGCACCAGGGTGTCTGTGGGGCTAAGCAGTCAAGTCAGATCCCATTTAAAAAGTCGCAATGGTTACACTCTGATGATGAACCCTCTTTCCGTATTTGGGGAAAGGCATCCCTGTCAGCACTTGGAGAACTGAAATTTGTGTTATGCACAGTTCTTAATGACTCACTTCTTAAGGTCATTCATTACAGGAGCACAGTATAGCTGAAAGGCTTAAGATGCAATGAACTGCCTAAGTGCTTATTTCATTGTGAGCGTATGTAATAGCTATGTTGATTAATTTGCACAGTAAATAAAAAGTTCATATGGAAAACTCTGCATTTTTTAAAGGATGTTACTGTTAACTTATTGTAGTCTCACTGCAGTTTTGGGGTAGAGGATTATATAAACTGATTATAACCATCATATATAACAGCCATCTTAATACAAATTGGGAGCCAAATGGAATGAAAGGAGGCACTGTGCAGAGTTGTTTGCCCCCAGCCCTTTCTCATTGGCAGAAATCAAGACCAGGCAAGTTACCTCACTGAAGAAAGTAAGCCCTGTCTCCCTTCAAGCAGTAAATAAGTAAAAAATGAGAATACAGGATTCGTGGTTCCCAGCTGAGGTGAAATATAGGCTTAGGAGGAGAGACTTGTCAGTTACATCCACAGCTCAGTTTGTTTCCTCTGCCACCAGGAGAAGCAGGACAAGGCGGTTCTCCAGGCTGAAGTTCAACATTTGAGACAAGATAACATGCGGCTGCAGGAGGAGTCCCAGACGGCGACGGCCCAGCTACGGAAATTCACAGAATGGTTTTTCAACAGTGTTGACAAAAAATCCTAACCCGTTCGTACCCCATGAAGGGACCACTATGAGAATGCCCGTGGTCCCTGCGAAGTCGCAGAACTGTGGTGTCTAACTGTGCTTTCAAGCAGTAGTAGTGTTTTTGCTCTTCCACTCTGTCCAGCGCCATTCATCCCAGCAAGATCTGGAGCCTCGATTCCTTTTTGGTGGCCCCTTGTGAGAGCAGAGAACAAGGCTGATGTGAAAATGAATATGACTCCTGGTGTAAAGATGAATGTAAACCCCTGTGTCGGTGTGGGCCTTTTCCTTTTAGATTTACTAAAATGGTGCTCTGGCTGGGGCTTACCTCAAGAGGGAAGGTAGTTGGGTTTTATTTCCTATTTATCGGGTGACCTGGTAGAGATGTTAAAGCAATTTACCATAGTTTGGGCTTTAGTATTGTAAGATAAGCATAAAAACAAATAATCAGACATATACTTTAATGTTAAAGGTGCTCTATTTTTTTGTATGTACAGTAGTTATATTTCCACAGCCACATTACCATAGCAATAAGAATGGAGGCATAGTAAATAGTTGGAAAAACTGTGCTGGGGGAAGAAAAAAAAGCACTGATGGGTTTAAAACTAGTTTGAATGCAGTTACTTTAGAGACTTATTTATTTGCAGGAACAAATGGTGCCTGAATATTAACAGTGTTCTGATTTAAAAAAAAAAAAGAAGATACATATGCCTTGTAAATGGCTCACTGAGTAGTCACTTCAGCTCTTAGTTCACTTTTGTATAGTTAATGCTCTGCTGAAAAAGGGTAAATCGGCTTAATTACTAGAACTTGCCTGTATGCTGTGAGCCAGCTGGATCACTTGTACAATGCCAAATTTGTTTATCTTTGTACAGAAGCTTTGATGAAGTGTCTTGTATTTAACACCCTTATTTAAGCTTATTTAACCTTAAATTGTTAATTTTATAAAATTTGGTTTTATCTGCACTATGATGAGGAAGGTAGATAGCAGCAAGCTCAGAACAGACTTGGCTTGCCAGAAATAGACTGAGAAGTGGGACGGGGAAATTCTAACAATTGGATGCTGCTAGGACCCAAGTTGTTTGTATTGCTTTACCATTTTTAACTGTTATATTTGAGATGAACATACATTTTGCTTTTTTAATAAAGGTTTAAAAGAAGTCCACATAAGTAATGGTGTTGTCAGGTGACTATAGATTCTTATGGTCTAAGAATGTCAACAGTCAATGTATGTGAATTTATTTCAGGTCATTTATGATCTTGATCTGTATTAAATACTGTTTAGCTACCTTCTTATAGAATCCCAAACTGATTTAAAGTGAAGAGTAACTAGTATTTATTAATACCTGCTAGGTATCAGACACTATTCTCTTTTCATTAATCTCATTTAATCCTAACAGTATACTTAATAGGTAGCTAGTGGGATCCCATTTTACAAATGAGTAAACTGAGGATCAGTTTAAGCAATTTACTCAAGGCTGCCCTTTTTTAAAAAAAATAATCATCTTATTCAACAAAGAATTTGGTGTTTTTTACAATAAATAGTAGGTAAGACTGCAATAAAATAGTAGGGATTTGAAAATAATCAGGAACAGGTCACTGTAAATTTGAATCAGACATAAGACAGAAAGAAGACATTGAGCGTAGGCCAAAGTAGGGAGGGAAACACAGTAAGACGTAATTCTCGACCGTCTTAGAGCAGAAACCATACCTAAAATTCACAGGAAGCAAAGTGTTTTCTAGAGTTTTCCCTAAAAGGAATTTCTCACATTTGAACAGCATCCTTAATGTTCCTCTAGCAAATATAAACGTAAGTGTCATAGCATGGAGCCGCCTTCTCTGAAAGACACAGGCACACGTCCAGCACGCACCGAGTGATGCAGCTCTTCAGAGTCAAAACATTGCAGGTCTCTCCCTTTCACTCCTTTCACTGTCTGCCAGGCACTGGGCTAGGAACAGAGGATCCAAAAGTGATCTAGAGCCACCAGGATCTATCTCCACGGAACTCACAGTCTAATATCAGAAGACAAACAGAAGGTCTCTTCAAAATGTGAAAGAAAGAATACTTGGGATGGGCTCCCTTAAATAATCATTACAGTAGCCACATTTTTTTGAATAGTTACTATGTGCCAGGTGCTGTTCTTGGCCCTTTATTATCTACGTAGCAACCCTATAAGGTAGGTACTCTAGTAATCCCTTTTTAAACATGAGGAATTGAGACTTGGACAGGGTGGTCAGGGGGACCTCCATGAGTAGATGACTTTGGAAAGTTGAGAGAGAACAAGCCATGAGAAGGTGGGGAAGTGTTGCAGGTAGAGCAAACACAGAGTTCAAAGGCCCCAGGGCTCAGAGTGCTCAAGGAATCTGGGAAAGCAGGATGTACGGAAAATGGGTAGTGGAGGAGAAAGTGTTAGGAAGTGAGTTTGAAGAGACAGGCAAAAGCCAGATCGTTAAGGAGTTGTTTAAGGAATTGTAGGCCAGGATAGCATTTGGGTTTTGTTCTAAGTTCAAGGGGAAGGTGAAGGAGAAAAGTAGCATAATATCAATATTTTAAAACGCTTATCCTAACTTCTAAAGGAGAATGTATTGTATAGGACAGGAGTCTGCAAACTTTATCTATAAAGGGCAGAGTAAATATTTTAGGCTTTGGAGTCACCTGCTGTCCCTGTTGCATATTCTTTATTTAAACCCATTGCTGTCGAGTCGATCCCGACTCATGGCAACCCTATAGGATACAGTAGAACTGCCCTATAGGGTTTCCAAGGCTGTAATCTACGGAAGCAGACGGCTGCATCTTCTGCGGAGCAACTGGTGGGTTCGAACCGCCAACCTTTTGGTTAGCAATCCATCACTTAACCACCGTGCCACCAGGGCTCCCTTACTTTTCTTTACTACCCTTTAAATACGGAAAATTCATTCTTAGCTTGCAAGCCACACAATAACAGGCTACCAGCATAGTTCGCTAACCCCTGGTATTAGGGAAAGAGCAGTCTAGGTGAGAGATGGGGCTGGCACAGGCCCTGGCGAGGCAGCAAAGATGGGGAGAAGTAAATGAATCTTTCTTGGGAACGTATTTTGGAGGGAGAGCCCACAGAATTGGCCGTGTGTTTGCTATTGGAGGGAAAGGTTTGATCCAGGGATAAGATCTAAACTTCAGAGGAAGGGATGTTCTACATGTTCTTGAGACACTTTCCCATAAATATGTGTTACCTTTAATAAAAGTGTAACAACAGACCTTCCGTTTCCTGGCGAGGGTCTGGAGTGCAGCGCCTCTGCATTGCTGATCATGGGAAGAGGTGTTCACTTTAGAAAACAGTCAAGCCAATGAAAAGTTGAGAAAAGGAGGGAATCTGACCCAAACCTAGCTGAATGGGAAGCCATACCATCTGCCTAAGGCATATCTCTGGACAAGACCAGAAGATATTTCTGGAAGAAGCAGTTCCCAGTCTATACTAGCAAAGAATGAATAATCTGTCAAGTCTGCCTTCCAAGGGCCGTGCCAAAAAATATGGCTAAAATGCTTTTGGCCTGTAAAGCAGTTTTCAGACAGATGTTTCCAGTCAACACCAAGCCGTAGAAAAATCGTAGTCACGCTCCCATAGTACATGTGGTTTTGAGCAACTTGGCATCCTGGTGAACGCTCTATTAGGTATAAAATGTACCCCTTAACAAGTAAACACATGACTTGCTGTATGGGCTTACTGAGTACAAACTAATTAAATATTGGAATATATCTGCTAAAAATAATTATTTTCACTTAGAATAATATCAGACAGCTTTTTTTTTTTTTTTTGCTATCCATATGGAGTGATCTTTTATGTATTAAGGCCAGTCTAATATGTGACAATTAAAGTTAATTAGCATGTTAAAGGCTTTTATCCTGCTATTCTCTGTAACAGAAAGCAGGTTTATCATTAAAAATATAAGTTACAAAGAAGGGTGGGTGGCACATAGCACTACAGTCCTGTTTTGCTGCTCGCAGTTTTTTTGGAAATGTCAGCAGTCTGTGGTCCTGCTCTCCAGGGAAAATGCAGATTTTGGTTATGATTGTTACCCAGGAGTCTTTATCAAATGCAAGAAGCCATAAACCACAGCTCATCTACAGAGCCAGAAATCAAAGGGGAGTCCGTAAAAAGGGTATAAGTATAGTGTTCGTGACCAACTTCTTCACAAAGAACCCTAACTGGTCAATAGTGTAGCACTTGAATATTAAATCTACTTGCTCCTAGTGTAAAATACTGGCCTGAGAAGCCCGGACCTGGGGTTTAGGGCGAGAACTGACATACAATTTAAACCAACTAGTGGATTCTCTAGTGTGGAAAAAGCTGTGAATGTCACCTCTTACAGAGAAACCCCACTCTCATTTCCAACCGGATGGAAGGCATGTCTCTAGAAACAAACCGCCACCTGTGCTGAAGCCACCTCTGCCGCCACAGTTACCATGCCACCCCACCAAGAAATGCATTTGTTCCAACCGTCCTAAGAGATAACGCCCACTACTTTGAGTTTTAACCTCTAAAACCCGTTGCCTTCGAGTCAATTCCTACTCATAGTGACCCTACAGGACAGAGTAGAACGGCCCCGTAGGGTTTCCAAGGCTGTAAATCTTTACAGAAGCAGACTGCCACATCTTTCTCCTGCGGAGCAGCTGATGTGTTCAAACTGCCAACCTTTCAGTTAGCAGCCAAGGGCTTAACCACTGCATCGTTAAGAAATAGTCTCAGAGCCTCAGAAATTCCAGCATTATTTTAAGCTAGTGCTTTGCCCTTGAGAATTCCCAAGTTGGAGGTGGTGATGGAGGGAAGGGATAAATAAAGATTTCTACAGACACAGGAGGGGTCAGGAGGGATGAGTCCCTGGAGAAGGACATCAAGCTTTGTAAAGTAGAGAGCAAAAAAGAGGAAGACCCTCAACGAGATAGATTGACACAGTGGCTGCAACAATGGGCTCAAGCATAGCAGTGATTGTGAGGACGGCGCAGGACTGGGCAGTGTTTCGTTCTGTTGGACATGGAGTCACTGTGAGTCAGAATAGACTCTACGGCACCTGACAGCAACAATACAGACACTTTGCTCCTTTGAATTACTGGTTGGTAAGAAACAAGGTCCAATTCATTTGAGTATGTTTGTGGATTTTGTGCTTGCAAATTAAAACCAGGTCCTTAATTCTAGTGTACACAGGTGAGGCATACTGCTCACTTGCAGAAAAGACGGTAAATAGAGTCGAATGGGTTTGATTCAACACCTGTTTAAAGGCAGATGGGCGGTAGATGTGTTTGTTTATGTTCCACAGGCGGGGAAGTGGTGAGAGACCTGCCAAAGACCAAGGAATGCATTAGGTTTCTGACCTCTGACCTCCAAATTAACCCAAAGGCCAAGCTTCCTGACTTTCAGTAATAGGAATTAGGCACAAACTTAAGCACAAAGAAAATTGTCTTCTCATGAATTTTATAGTAGGCTTAAATGGGCATCCCTCCCCAAAGGCCACATTCTTGCATGTTAACACACAAGGTTCAGGAAATTTTAAGTTTCTTAAAAAAATCAAATCCCACAAGACCCCCCACCCAAGTTATTAACAATAAAAAAGCTTCCAAATGCTGCAAACTCCCCTTCCCTCCCCCCAGTTTATTTTAATATCAGAAAATTTACTGCCCTTTTAAATCCTTACAGTTTTGATACAAACAT